CTTCTTGAGTTCGAAATCATTTCCGTTATTCTCATGAACTTACTGCTTGCTTCAGTGGAAACACTGTTGGGAGAAATTAGACGTTTGTCACTCTTAGGGTTAAAGAGTTAATCTGCGCCGTGTTACTCTGCCGTTTATGGTTGAGCAGCCCTGGATGATAACTGCGAACGGTGAACTAAAGTAAAAGGACTCTAGATCTCTTTTAAGGTGGTGGTTCTTACGCATGCAAAATTCTGTTAGTTTTGACAGTCAATTTTAGTTTGGTTTCTGCAACCTACGTTGACACGGGCGTGGTTTTGTCGAATGCACTGGATTTGCATTATTTAAATTCTGTTCAGTATTCCCTACTCTTACCTGAGCCTCACCGCTTTAAGAAATATATAATATATTTACACATTTTTTTTGCAACTTAACAGTAGTTCAGAGAGTGAAAGCCCTCCAAGGCGTGACAAGAGGAAGCAACAGAGAAAGGATAAAACAAAAAGAAATGACCATCGTAGTCCATCAACGGACAAAGAAAATGTCCCAAGACTCCAACGCAATAGATCCCGGTCTCCAGATAATTCCTCCCTGAAAAAGTTAAATCTCGTCGACAGCAACATCTTGACAAGTCTGATACGAGAAGAGAAAGGAAAATGCGAGATGACCATGAAAATCGACAAAATGAAGAACGTGTGAGACAAGAACGTGACCGCGAGGAACGTGACGATCGTGCGCGTAACGATCGATCACGTGTAGAACGGGATCACTCACCCGATGATCGCGTGCGCGGGGAGCGTGTAAGGCTACGTCGTAGTGGAAATGGAGATCGACAATCTCCAGAGAAAGATCGGTCATTGTCTGAGAATGGTGTTCGTGAAAGGCAGCAGCGTCGTGTTGATCGGTCGAGCTCTGCAGAAAAATCATCTGAGGTAAGAAAGAAGAGAAAGCAGCGGGACGCACGAAGCTCTTCTGAAGAACGGTCGGAAGGACGACGTGAACCTGATGAAGAAAGGCCTGAAACAAGGCGTCGAAAGTCGAGTCCCATCCCTGAGCAGTCAAGAATCACAACCAGGAAGGAAGATTCTCGTGAGAGAGAAGAAAACCGTCGACCACAACAGAGGGAAAACTTTAACTCCAGAAATGGCGACAACAAGGCGAGTGACCGAATGCGACGTGATATTACTCCCGAGGACAGAAACCGGCGACGTAGTTCATCGAGAGAAGATAGAAGGAATCGAAAAAAACAGTCGCCTTCTCCTGACGATAGGCAGCGCGTAGAAGGTATACGAAGAAGCCGCAACCAAGAGCGCTCTGAGAGTCCTCCGAAAGAGACCCGACGGAGGACCAGACAGTCTGCATCGCCATCTCCTGATGCAAGGAGGCAAAGAGGAAGGTTACCCAGCGAGTCTCCTCCTCCTCCTCCTCCACCAAAAGTGGCTGCTAGCAAGAAGAAAGAAGTACCAAGTGATAGCCAAAAGAAAGTGAAACGAACGACAAAGAGTAAGGCCCAAGAGAAACGGTCCAGTTCAGAAGAGAGTTCTTCTAGTAGTTCGTCCGAATCTGCGTCAGAGTCCGAGGACGGATCATCGCATAGCAGCCGTGTGTCACCTGTGCTGACCAAGCACAAGTCATCGCCTGATACAAGTGAACAAAGAACTCAAAAGAAGAGGCCTTCTCCGTTACCTCGCCGTGCTAGTCCCAGTCCTTCACCCGTGAAACAATCCAGGCGGTCTTCAGATAAAGCTGCACCTCCAAGACGACGAAAACCTAGTAGAACCCCAAGCCCACCGCCTGCGCGTCGAAGGTCCCCAGCGAGTCCACCCCCAGCACGTAGGGTATCTCGAAGCCCACCCCCAGGACGTAGAAGGTCGTCCCCGAGCCCGCCCCCTGTAAGGAGAAGGCTGTCTCCAAGTCCTCTTCGTTCTAAGCCTATGAGACGAAACCGAAGTAGAAGTAGATCGGAAGAAAGATCGAGAAGAGATCGATCAGTGAGCCCCAAATCTGCGAGGAGGCGTAGTCAAAGCCCAAGGCATTCGCCTTCCCCTGCTTTACAACCTCGGCGGCGGCGTCCTTCTAGAAGTGTAACTCCCCCAAGACCCACCAGAAAGCCCAGTTCGTCACCTCCTCGAAGTCAACCTGCACGAGGCTCCAATCAGCGCCGAAGAAGAAGCGACAGTCGCAGTCCTCGGCGTTCCCCACCTACCCAGTTCCGCAGGCGTCGACCTTCTAGAAGCCTGAGCCCACCAAAGCCCAAAAGAAGCCAAAAGCCCTATCAGAAGGCGCAGGTCAAGCCCGGCTCCTGCTGGAGGCTCTTATCGGCGTCAAAGTAGAAGCCCTTCAAGAAGCCCAAGTCGTGGTCAAGGCGCTCTCCGCCCAAGCAAACGCGGAAGCGCAGACAGTCCAGAAGTGTAACCCCGCCAAGAAATCGACCGGCGCCAAAAAAATCTCCTGCTCGAGATAGTCCTGTTCAAAGGCGCAGCCGAACTCCTAGTGCGTCGCCTGTTCGTAGAAAGGACAAAGTGACGGAACACGAGTCATCTCCTGTTCAGGCAAGAGGTCGAGATACACGTGAATCGGCGGAGAGGGTAGCCAGGAACCTCCGCGTAAAAAGGTACAAGTGATGTATTAAAAATTATGACTGATGAAATACCTTTAACACGATGGTTTGCTTAAATTTACGTTAAGTTCAAGCCGTCAGTTATACCAGTTTGATCAACTCGACAATTGCGCCAGGTTAAAGGAACTGGTGCTTTGGAAGAAGCAACTGTTTTCCTCGCTGCCATCCAGAACGAAAAGTGGAAACACGAATATTTCGGCTTTTTCAAATGTGAAAGACTTATTGTCTTCATTAACGACGTCATACAACACAAAATTAGCTCTACTGATTGGGTGCTTAAATGGAGGTTCGGAAAAATTACGCACCTACGCGGGGACGTCGGGTCTATGTCGCAAAATCGTGACGTTGGGGGGGGGGGTGGACCTTTTTGTTTTTGTTTGCATCTTACTTTTGATGTTTGAAAGGACTAGTAGTGACGTCTAGAAATTTGCAAACGTTGCTGGTTGGGTTTTGTCACGCAACGGTTCTTCTCTCTTGTTTCCGTGACAAGACGAAACAACGGCTGCGAATTACATTGAAATTAGCTTCTCCTTGAACGAGGTCGTCTTTATTGAAACTGTTCTTCTTGGCATTTTAGAGTGGCTCAAGAGAAAAACCAGAAGATTGAAGTGGCGAAGCCAAGTAAAACGAAAAACGCAGAAAGCCGATCCCGGAAGAAAAGCAGTGGCGAAAGTGGAAGCGAAAGTAGCTCAGAAAGCCAGAGTAGTGACAGTGAAAGTAGTGAAGACAGTAGTAGTGGATCGAGCAGCAGTGACGAGGAGTCTGGGTCCAACAGCAGTAGTTCCTCTGACGTTAAGCAAAGGCGATAAGCGGTGGTTTCGTTCAAAGGGGTTGAACATGTAGCTTATGTTAACCAATAGACAGGTGGCGCATAGAGTATGCGCAGTTGTAATTAAGGCAGTTTTTTTTGCCATTGACTGTTTCTCTCTCAGATAGTTTTTTATCCTACGAGTGGATTCGTTACTTTCGTAGACAAAGTTGCCGGGAAATTTGACCAAGCTGACCCCACCTTTCACGGAGAACCTTGTGCTGTTCTCTGATTGGACAATTTGGAATTCCGAACGAAGCTTTACTTGTTCGGCTCTCTGTTAGTGAATTTACTTTTAAACAGTTGGTAGTTACCTCGAATTTTGCGATGTTTACTAGGATTAAGTCTGAGTTTTACTTTGGGAATATCGCAGCATTGATAATTTACTAGCTTCCCCTGTTTTTTCCTTGTTTTGAAATGAATGTCAGCAGACATCCCCAGAGAACAGACCCTTAGTTGAGAAACTTACCAAAATGGGTTGTAACAGTACTTTGATGTGTACTAGAGTCTTTCCTGAGGCAACTAGAATACTGGCAAAAAGCAGATTTCGACTTCATCAAAAGGAATTGAAACGAAAGCTTAAGCTTTTACACGATTTTTTTTACTGTATATGGAATATCCGAGAGCCACTCCTGTTAGAGAATCCGTACTCTTAGAATCATAGCGAAATAAACAGTGTTTTTCACTTGTCTTGTGTCAGCATATCTGTTTTTACTTGCATGTATCCCGTTCTCTATCTGAAAGTACGTCTTAAAGCGTGAAATTGAGTATCGTATGGGTCAACTCCTTCCCAGTGACAGAAAGGAACTCACCGACCAGACAATTTATGCAATAAAGGGACACGAGTGGATTTTTTTTAACCTTTCAGACACCGTTGTCTTGGCTCAGATCAGGACAAATTTTTGTCATGCGTGAGATCTGACAGATGTTTTAATCCACAAGCAAAGATTTGAAGGAGAACGTCAATCAAGGAAATTTGAACTCCGAATCTTTTAGGCAGAAGCTTGCATAAATGTTTACATTTCAAGCAACAATCAAATGGTAAAGATGGAAAATTCGTACTTCTGGATGTTGCATGACAATCAGTACTCAGGGTACTGAATTAGTTCCAGCCGTATCTCTAGATCCAAGTACTGTTTAATTTGTAAATCCATGTGATTGACACTTTGTGGTCAACAAATATTTAGCTGTTTTCCAGTGCGCCCACGTTTGACAAATTATCAATTTAGCGAAGGGAAATGTGCAGATTTTCGAGAAAACAAATTTTGTCAGCCTTGTGCATCCGGGCTTTTTGCCCTAAACCTCTCATTTGTTTGGTTTAAATGAGTTTAAGGTCTTTGCTAAGAGCAGATAGAGTGAATAGGGAGCATGCCGTTGTCTTCTTAGAGGTGGAAGTGGTAGAGAAATAAATTGTCAACGAAGATGGTCAGATGTATGATAGGTCTTGTTTAACACCCCCGCCCACTCCCCTTCAGCTTAGTAACCTGGTACTCTTAATGAATAGCGGCCATCGCGATATGCGCGTTGTAAATCCTTCTAGTTTTTGTCAGTGATTCGTTAAAGCTGTGGATTCATCAAGTTTTTCTAAAGAAAATGTTGACTGCGCTGGGTCACATCCAGCTGCTGCGCTTTGTCGGCCCAGCTGTTGTTGTTTTGGTGTTGCACCGTATTACTTTAATAACTTGGCTTGCATGGCGACTCGCTTCACTGCCTCTGTCTAGGCGCGTCTTCGAACGAGGAGATGAGATTATGTACGACTCGTATCAATCGCTTATCTGCTTCTTCTTTGAGACCTTGACGGGAGCTGAGGTGAGGCAATATTATGAATGTTGTTAGGAGATATTTCAAGTGAACGCGGAGTCTCGACACCACGTGGGTTGGTGCAGCGTAAGGTGTATTCCGAGAGTGTGAAAACATGTAATTCCTGATTATTTCTATCGTTGCTTGAATGCTTTTCTCCATCCCTCTGTAGTTTTTTCATTCTGCCGTGAACATGGGTGACTCCTTCAGTGGTATGAAATGCTTGAAGGGTTCACGAGGGCGTTAAGGTTGTGGAGGAGAAAGAGTGCATACATGTCCACCATTGTACACTTTCCATCTTTTCATAATTGTAGGAATACTTTCTATAGCTATAGCAAACCTTTGGAGGGAATGGAGAATGTGGCTGATTCCCGAAATGAGGGACAGCAAGTTAGCTGAAACACTCACATGTCTTTCAAGAGTATGAATGGGGTGATTCCTGATGAATCCCATGGCTACTCAGAACTTGCCCTGCCCTGCCCTGCCCTCTTTTTCTTCCCTCTCCAAAGTGGCTTCATTTTGAATTGAACATGAGACTCTTCTACGCAGGTCTATTAAAGAGGCAGAGGGGTGGGTAAGGGCATGTCAGGTGTAGGAACTGCATGAAGCCTGAATTCTCACTTTGGAAACTTTTCATTGTTGTATGAATACTTTTACTATTAAGATGGATGCATTGGAGAGGGATGAACATGAGTGGGGAAACTTGCAGAATGATGTAGACAAGTTGTAGAGAAGAGTTTGGGACATGTTTGATTGGGACATGTAACATTATTGTCGTTGTTTCTTTGTGTTTAACTGCTGATAAGAATTTGCCAACATTTCAATAATCTTGAATTTCCAGGATGATTCCAGTCCTCTTTATTTCTATCTACTATGTTTTTTTAACTTTATCTTTGCCTTTATATAATTTCCAAAAGAAAACATCTGTGCAAGACAATGTCAAATGAAATCTCCTTTTTTCCACCTCAAGTTTTGACACATTTTGCATTTACTCATGTACCTTGGTAAATATCCTGTGTGGTTTTTTAAGGTCAAATTGAATTGATGCATAGCCACTTTTTGCAATCTATGGGTAGTTGGGCTGAAATTATCTAGAAATGTTGTGATTTACATCTCCTTTTTCTGGGAAGCTGAATTATGCACTTATCTTCTACATTCAATATTTTCCAACCTCCATCATTAATAATATTGCCTGCCATTTTACTTAATTTTCAGGTTATCCTTTATGGTGATCAAATTCCATGGAATAAACAGGAAAATGTGATTGTGATATGTAACCATCAAAGTTCAGGTACCAATTGTTTAAAGAGACAACTCTACACATAAACCCCAGGATCGGGTCTTACACTCTTTTTCTCTATATTTGTTTACTAAATCCTTTCATGTGGTTGTCATGTTTTTAACCAAAGTCCCAAATCTCCAAATAAGCAAGTTACAGTTCCTAAGATTAGAGTGTTCTTGGTGACCAAATGCAATTTGACAAAATTGTCTATCTGAAGGCAAAACAAAACAAAACAAAAATATATGACCTAGCCCATAAAACTTGCCTTTCCATTGCCTCACCTGATCATGGTGTTACCCTTTATACCTTAACATCAATATGCAAGTTCTCTTTACTTTTCTCTATACATTTACTGTGGTACTTACACGGAGAATAATTCTCTGTGTAAGACATAGACAAAGACACCATAGACAAATTATTTGTCTAACAATCAAGGGCTTCTTGAGTTTACAATCATTTCCTTTATTCTCATAACCTTGAAGTTTGAGTAAGAAGTTATACCACTGGGAGAAACTAGACATGTGTTTCACTCGTAGAGTTTAACGGATTCAAGTACTTTCTTTCAAAAAAGTTACAGCCTATTGAATATTTTCTAATATCATTGGCTTCCCACTTGATTGAGGTAGTTATTCTATATCTTTTTCACCATTTAAAAGAAAACTCTGATAACTTTGGATATTATATTTACGTAATTTATCTTTTTAATGTTTGTAAAACATTGTTTTTATGCAGTGGACTGGATAATCACTGATTTCCTTGCTGTCAGGCAAGGTTCTTTAGGACGACTTCGCTACATTCTGAAGAACGGGTTGAAATATTTCCCTTTATATGGTTTCTACTTTGCTCAGGTAACTATTTGAATCTCTGTATCTGTGCCGTTCATGAAATTAAGACTTTTAACTTTGGAATTCCCTGAAGTGATCAACATATAACTTCTCCCTGTGATACCATACATCATCCAGCAAACAGGTAATGAGAATACTCAGGCTTATCAGGTGGATGTTTTCATCTTGATCTAACAGCAAATTCTTAGAACTAATGCACAAGGCAATGTGTAGCAGCTAGAGAGGAGAATTAACAATCAGATCTTGGGAGTTAGAGTTACCTGTTTTTCTTCTTGTTTTTATTTTTTTTTGTCTTTCTTTTTTTTTGTTTTTTTTTTGTTTTCAATTGAGGTGGGCATGCATACACAAACCATGCTGTCTTATAACTTGATTACAATACTATTTACAGCATTCATGTATATATGTTAAACGCAGTGGGGCAAAAGACCAAGATTACATTGCTAGGTAGGTTGTGCTTACATATTAAGTAGAATGTCACAACAAGTTAAGCAAATTGATGTAAGATTATTGGCACATGGTAGTTTTTTTTAAAATATTTTTTATCCTATGCACACTAAATTAGGCCAAAGCCCCTGTTGTAACACTGTACACCCAAACATTAGTATACATATTGATGTGTGATTCAGGGGTGATTAGAGGAATGTAATGGTAGTCACTCCCAGGAGCAAAAGGGTTCAACTTTAAAAAGTGAGCATTACTGTTAAGCTTTTCATTTGGAAATCTTTTTTTTCCTTCATGCAAAGCAACTTGCCCCTCTAAGGGGGTCTCCAGCAGGTAATGCCAGAAAAATATGAAATTTGAAACTCTCTTAGATGTGATTTCCAGCTGGCCATCTGGGACATATTTGGAAACTTTTTATAGCCAGACCTGGATGTTAGAATCATTTCACAAAGTAGCTGGCATGAAATGGTCTGACAACTGGAAGCTTTCTTCCACCAACAGGCTTCTAACCACAACCCTGTTAACCCTGTTCACCTTTTATCTTTAGGAAACTTACAGAGATGAAGGCTCGAAATCTACCTGTGAGTATGTTATGTGCTGATAAAAATAGTCTTTGAAAGATTATTTTTATGTTAAACAAATTTTACTGTAACAGTTATCATAATTAGTAACATGTAGTGGTTCCTGTTTTTGCAACTTGAGAAATCTAAGTGCTGATCTTTGCAAGTAACCAGTATTTGATCATGACAACATATTTTCTTTTTTAATTTGTGATTTGATATTAATAATGTAAGGTTATATTTTGTTGTAGATGTGGTTAGTCATTTTTCCAGAAGGCACACGATACAATGTAAATAATAAAGCAGTGATTGAAAAAAGTCAAGCATTTGCAACTGAACAAGGTAAATGTCATGAAATACTTAGGTAATTTATGAATTTATGATGGTGTACATGATACCTTCCCTTAGATAATTTTTTCAGGTGATGTGTTTTATACCCTGGGTGTATTATGCCTGGAGGTGCTATAAGTGACCAAGACAGAATTTCTCCTTACAGTATCAACACAATATCAACCAAACAAGTGATGAGAATAAAGAAAAATATGAATCAGGAGATTATTAGTTGATCCAATACCAAATACAGACAGTAAGGAGAGTTACTTATTTTCGAGATCTTTGGAGTGAAAGGGTGAACAAAATGCATAGACCAACAAGTTAAATATAAAACTTATGGTAATTACTGGTAGCTGTACAAACAGGCATCTGTTGTTACTTGTTGTGTACATAGGGTTTTATGCAGAATGCCAGCCCATGCCCAAATGTGACAATCAAATATTTTGATTATCAACTCTGATAATTGTCATGAGGTGAACAATAAGCCTAAAATATTTCTGTGCTTTTTTAATACTACCATTGGTTAGCATGTGCTTGTGATCAATTGTATTTCCTAGGTTACATTTGGCCACATTTAACACTGTATTTTGTCAAAGTTTATCACACAATCAACTTCTATCAACCATTATGTGCTCTTATTCACAGGACTCCCAGTCTTAACTCAGGTACTTACCCCAAGAACAAAGGCTACTGAGGTTGGTGACCTGTGATCTACATCAGTGTCACAATATAAAACTACACCTACAAAAAAACAAATATGTACAAAGTCTATGCTTTGGTGATTTTGAAAGTTTTGGTTAGAACAGGTATTTCAATGTAATATCATTTTGTTTTCTTCAAGGCCAGCTTCGAGGTTCTGTCTTCTGACTATTTGGATGCTGTTTATGACTTCACTATCACCTATAGCATGGCAAACGAGAATCATTTTCCTCGCAGACCAGCTCCAACTATGTCTGGTATGTGCTGTATAGTTGTTTAACCCACTGGTAACTTCCTTGAATTCCACCCTTGAAGCCTAGCATGTTATGATATGGAATTATTAGTGATAGACAGTTGGTGAATTCTCTTATAAATGTATAATACCATAACAGGGTTAGCCTTAAATGGAATCCGCATTTTCTCCTTTAGTTTTCCTTATTTCAAAAGGACAACAAGTCCTTTTGAGTTCCTTTTTTGAAGCCTGCTATGATATCAAATTATTTGTGTTAATCATTTAGTGAATTATCTGATAAATGTCCATTATCATAACAGGGTTGGCCCTAAAATGTGTTTTCTCCTTTAGATTTCCTTATTTCAAAAGGACAACAAGTCCATGTATACTGCCGAAGGCATGAAGCTAGAGATCTTCCCAAGGTTTGTTTGCAATATGTTCATATATCATGGTTCATTCAGTTGATTTTATTTAAAATGGCTTTGTAAAAGATATCACTGTTTTCTCTGATGTTGCATTCATTGCATTGTTGCAATTACAAGCAGAGTCCATACAGAAATGAAATATCAAATCCTGCATTTGGATGTCTCTGTGGTAAGAGTTAATTTTAAAACTGTTGTCTTGCAGGATAGTGAAGGAAGAAAATCCTGGATTCACCAAACCTTTGCAGAGAAAGACAGGTAAGCTTTTAATGATTTTCATGTTGTTATTTTCTAATGATGAGAAAAGAGAGCAGTTTGAGGAGAATGTTAAAATATAGTTTTTTAAAAAAAATTGATGAATTTATCTATACTGGAAGAAGGCAATCTAAGTCATTGCAGAGAAAAGCAATCTGAAGAGAGTCAGGTTTTGACAGGGTTC